TACCCAAAGGCAGCTACCCAGCTGCTTGTGGTAGATCCCACCATGGAGCTGATTGCCAGTCTCCTCATGGGGATTAACTACCACCAGCTGCCCAGTCACTCAACCAGGCCCAGCCAAGTTGACACACAAACCAAACTACCACAGTACTGAATAAATTTTTTCTGAAATGATAGAATGGCATGAACCGATTTTATTTAGACCACTATTTTACCGTGTAAAATAGTGATACACTTTTGCTGTTTGTCCCTGTATCTGCTCTATCACAGAACTTCCCTTACTCACATAATTGTTAGTCTAATTGGCTGTCTTTCTCACTTGTAAACTCCATTAAGTTAAGGATCTTGTCTTGGAATGGGAACATAATTGCAACCCAGCCCAGTGTGGAAACTCTTGTGTATAGGCACACCTCAGAGACATTCCAGGTTCGGTTCCAGACCACCACAATGAAATAAATACAGCCATAAAGAGTCACACATTTTTTTTGGTTTCTCAGTGCATATAAAAGTTATGTTTACATTATACTGTAGTCTATTAAGTGTGCAATCAAAACCAAACCAAACTCACTGCCATGGAGTCGAATCCGACTCATAGTGACCCCTCCTGGGGTTTCCAAGGCAGTATCACTACGGAAGTAGATTACCCAATCTTCCTTCCAAGGAGCGGCTGGTGGGTTTGAACCACCAGCCTTCTGGTTAGCAGTCAGATACCTTAGGCACTACGCCACCAGAGCTCCCAAGTGTGCAATAGCATCATGAAAATGTTTGAAATATTGTGTGAATTACCAAAATGTGACAGAGAGACATGAAATAAGTACATACTGTTGGAAAAAATGGCGCTGAAAGACTTGCTTGACAGAGGGTTGCCACAGAACTTCCATTTGTAAAAACACAGTATCTGTGAAGCACAGTATCAGGGAAGCACAATAAAACAAGATATGCCTGCACTTAAGCTCTTATACCCTAGGGCTTGGCTGATCAAATTAGTCCACAAAAGAGATGAGAAAATATTTGGCCATGCCAGGATGAAATTCAGAGATTACACAATTATCAAAAGTCTTCTGCCAAAAATGTTTGTTTTGTTTTCATTGTGGTGCAACTGTCAGGATCCTAGTGCCATGTCTTCCTCCTTGCTGTGAGGGTTATTTTTCTGCACAAGGAAACTGTAAGGGCTGGAGCCTAGCCTAGCCTCTGATGTACTGCAAAGGTGCAGGACAGCTGGGTGACTGTGAGTTGGCAAAGAGAGAAAGCTTTGGTCTGCAGCTTTTATTCCCGTTGTGCACAAATGCCTCTTTCGGAAGCCTCTTCCACCCGTCTATCATGTTCCCCCCTTCAGTCCTAGGCCTCTCCTTTTCTGTCGATGGTATCCCACTGAACGAAGCCAGTTTGCCCAGAAAGGATCTTTTCTAACTTAATTATGCCTTTAGCTAGCTAGATAGCCATGTCTGGCCTCCACTGTTGAGCCGACCTGAGGCACAGCAGATACGGAACATGCTGTTTTTCCCTAAAAAATAAGATGGGTTGAAATTACACCACGTAATGCTGTAAGGTTAGTGTCATCATTACTACATTTAGGTGTTGTTGTTAGTTGCCGTCAAGTTGATTCCAACTCACAGTGACCACTTGTGTGCAGGATG